GAGACAGTGGCATCAGGAATTCCCCTGGCTTCTCCCCAGGGCAGATGCCCAGCCCTGACAGCTGATGCGTGGGCGCCTTTGTCCTGCCAACTCATTTCCTGTTGACACCAGTCCAGGCATCCTCTGCTTTGCTCCTTCCCTCACCGGTTCCAGTCAATGGCTCTGTTTGCTCCTTGGAGGAAGCTCCCATGTTCTGCCCTCCCCAGGGCTCTTCCCCCACCCTGCAGAAAGCTCCATGATGGACGGACGCTCACCTGATGGGAAGTTCCCCCCTCGGAGGCGTGGTTAGTGCTGCAGCCGGGGGTGGGAGAAGGAAGCCAGGCCAGCAGGGGAGGCGTTAGGGCCGGGCTGTTTCATTCCTAGCCATGCTCCACAGTGGAGCAGGTGCATCATGAAGCGTGCACCTGGGCCACGTGTCACACCCGCTGAGACACCAGTGGCTCCAGAGAAGGGGTTACAAGGCGCTAACAAGCTGCCTGAGTCTGGAATGGGAACATGGGTCCAGCGACTGCGCGGCGAGGCCGTTCCTTGCGACACGCTGCCTTCAGCTCCCACCGTGATCCCACCGTGAAACCTTTCCCTGTCCCCCACGGCCTGGAGCCCCCACTGCCGAATCCGGGGGAGCGGCAGCAGACAGCAGAGGAGCCCAGGGGCCGGATCCCAGCTGGGTCAATTAGCACCCTCCACTGAAGTAAAACAGCCCCCCCTCCATCTCTCTGGGTGATCCCACCCACTATGCAAGGAGCTGCTCCCACCGTGATCCCACCGTGAAACCTTTCCCTGTCCCCCACGGCCTGGAGCCCCCACTGCCGAATCCGGGGGAGCGGCAGCAGACAGCAGAGGAGCCCAGGGGCCGGATCCCAGCTGGGTCAATTAGCACCCTCCACTGAAGTAAAACAGCCCCCCCTCCATCTCTCTGGGTGATCCCACCCACTATGCAAGGAGCTGTCTCCACCCTGTCCTCCACTCAGTGGTCAACATCTCCCCCCCATCGCCCCCCCCGTCACAGTGCCCTCGCCGGCTCCCCAGACGTGGAAAATGCTGTACATAGAGTTCTCTATTTTTTCCTCCTTTGTAACTTATCATCCGTTTAATAAAAAGACAAACTTTGTGACCTCAGGCCTCGGGGGCGGTTTAACAGGCTCCTCCAGGCCCTAGGGACAGGGAACGGTTCGGTGTCGGTCTGGCATGGGCCTCGCCACATGGCTCACACACGCGGTTCCAGGGCCGGGCCGGCAGGGGGAAGGCCACGCTGAGAGAGGCAGCCTGCCTGCCTTCGAGAGGGACGCAAATCTAGCAGCTCAGTTCGTTCCCGTCCGTTCCCAACGCAGCGAGCGGCTCCGGGGGGCTCTATCTGGCCACAAAGGGCTGTTCCCAAGCAGGTGACGCACTGGCAATGCTTGTTGGATTGGGTGTTTCACTTAAAGCACCAGCTCCCAGAACCTTTCGCTGCTGGGAGACGCTCCCTCTGCAGCTGAAAATTAGAGACGTTCCAGCTTCTCTGACGATGGGCAAAAGCTTAAGATCTCGACCCAGGAAGGGGCTAGAAAGAACCCAGACGTTCCCAGAAAGGGTCAGAATTTGGAAGCCAACCCTGTGGACTTTTGACAGCTGGCTCGTGATTGGTACAAGGGCAGGCCAAGATCTAAACCCAGCTGTGCCTGCTGGGAGCTGGGCAAGGAGGTGTGACTGGTCCCCTCTTGGCTGGAAGTCACTCTGCAGGCAGCCTGCCTCAGTTTCCCTTGTCTTCAGCTCAACCACAGTATCACAGCTGCGCTTAGCTGGGTCAGCACCAGTTCTGCTCGGGGCTGAGTTGATTGGCATTCCAGAGCAGTCCCGAAATAAAGGTCTGGACTCTCCTCCAAGTCCATAGTCCTAGTCTGTCCTGCTACGGCCTCCCAGGTTTTCCCCACTGCATCCCTGGTGCGGCAGGCAGGGCTAACTGTGTGGGGCGGGCCAGCTCCGGGTCTTAAAGGGACACATCACCCCATGAGCAGCTCATAGGCACAGAGCAGGGACTGGGCTCACCGACAGGACAGGACTCTGCTCCGATTAAGTGGCAGCGTGGAGGGGGCCAGTCTGAGTCCAGGGGAGCCCCCCAGCAGGCGAGACACTCACTGCCCATCGAGCGGGATGGTCTGCAAAGCCCTCCAGAGCTCTAGGCAGCTGGTATCCCCCCCACCTCCAGGCTCAGCAGGGCAGAAGCTGGACTCCCCAAATCCCCATGGGGTCGTCGCTGGGGTGCCCCGAGGGCCCATTCAACGCCCCCCCCCCGCAGTGCATTTGAAGCCAGTCTCTTCACCCCTGCTGAAGCACTTCCCGGGGCCAGCAGGCCCACACGGCTGCAGCTGCCTTAATTAAATAGCAACACAATTATGCCCAGGGCCGGGCAGGGGAACAGAAGTTGCCGGAGGCCAGTGGGGCCAGTTTCCAGGGCAACCTCCGGTGCCGGAAGCCAGCTGCTCCCTGGTGTAGGCCTCCCTCCCGGGCTGGGGGGTAGGAGTGGGGTGGCAGTGGGGCAGAGCCGCCTCGGGGCCGTGGAGAGCAGTCCGGTGCCCCACTCCCGAGGGCGGCACCCCCACGGCAGCAAGAGCGGCCCTGTTTGGCTCACGCACCAGACCCCTCCCACGCGGAGCCAGGGGCCGAACGCCCGCGGACACCACTGGAAGCTGGGCGCCTGCGTCGCTCCGAGGACCTAGGCCTGGCCTCCCGGAGCCATTGGGGGCTGGAGGGGGGCCACCCTTAGCTCCCTTTTGTCCTGGTTCAGCTGTCATTGGGGGAGGAGGGGTTAACCCCGTCTCTGCTGGGGGCCTCAGCTGGGTGCCCCCTCCCCAAGAGGAGGGGGCTTTGGCCCCCGACCCTCCTCTCCCTTGGGGACAGGGCTCTCTCTTCCCACCCTTCCCCGTCGCTGCCTGGGAGGCGGGTGCAGGGCCAGGTGCAGGGATGGGGCAGCCTCCCGGGGGCGGGGGGGGGAGATAAAGGGGGGGA